GAAGCAGTTTGCGTTCGATCGTGCGTTAGACTTGTGGGTAAACGAGTAGGGTAATCGGGTCGGGTAATGAATTTTTCAACGGAACCCGACCCCGACCCGACTCCTGGTTCCGGTAGCATAATTATACCCAAACTCGATCCAAAACCCAACCATCCCGAGTTTACTCGACCCAAAAATGTAGGTAATCCGACCTTGCGGGTTTTATTGACATGCCTACTCAAAATGCAATATTTGACAAGTTAAATCCGTCGTGTGTAATTAACGAAATCTTAATTATTAGTCGAACCGAGCACAAACTCCTAATGATATGTTAAAAGTTTGAAAATGCAAAACCAATAAATCCGAATAAAGTCCAACGAGGGTATTCGTATTGGTCAAAAACCAATTGATATTACCCAAGAGCGCTTAGATGAGATGGCTTGGGTCTCTTTCAGCTTAACCAGTGGTCTCGTGTTCGAGCCCTGGGAATGCAGCAGTGTTAAAAACTCTTGAGGGAGAGCTTTGCCACCCTTGTGGTCCTACCCGGCTGGATTCCGAATTAGTCGGTTCCCCTGTGAATCTGAAAACCGGAAAGTCCCTGTACCAAAAATATAAAAAAAAAAAACCAATTGATATTTTTGTAGATGAAGCAAAATTTCGTCAATAAATTGTATATGGCTAAGTCAACATAGAAAAGAAGTAGCATTTTAGTCATAAGTCAACCTTTTCTTTTCAGTTGTATTTTAATTTATATATTAACTATTTCTAGATAGATGATGATGATACCTGGCATGTTGGACCAACGAATATTGAGAAATGATCACCCCTTCGTTTTCATTCTGTGCGGGATATGATTATATAAAATTTTCTTTTAGAAAAAACAAAGGGAAATGATTATATAAAATTTTCTTAAAAAATAACTAGCATGTACTATTATTAGATAACAATTAATAACATTTGAGGCAGGGAAATGAGCATCAAATTACAAATGAAAACCACCACAATATAAAATGCCTAAGCTACACCATTTATCCTCGTTAAACGCATTCCCGTAAGAGAGAAGAAAAATAAAATAAAACAAAATCAGCACAGTACCCAAAATCACCGCACTGTCCACAACAATGGACATCGAGTCTACTACACAACCATCACCAACCCCAATTACCCGCCTCAACTCCTACGTTGCTGCCAGCCGCATCGGGAGACGCTTCAAGCTGATGGAGCGGAGGAGCAGCTTCACCACAGAGCTCCGGGCGGGCACGGCCACGTTCCTCACCATGGCCTACATCCTGGCCGTCAACGCCTCCATCCTCTCGGACTCCGGCGGCACCTGCTCCATCTCCGACTGCACCCCCATCTGCTCCGACCCATCAGTCCCTGCCCCCGACTGCCGCGGGAGGAACAGCACCCTCGTCCCCCCCACCCCAGCCTGCAAATTCCCCCCGGTCAACCCGGGGTACGCCGCGTGCCTTGAGACCACCAAACGAGACCTGATAGTGGCCACAGCCGCATCCTCCATTGTGGGCTGCGTGATCATGGGGGTGTTTGCCAACCTCCCCCTCGCCCTGGCCCCCGGGATGGGTACCAACGCCTACTTTGCCTACACCATAGTCGGCTTCCACGGGTCGGGGGATCTCTCCTACCGTGAGGCCCTTGCTGTGGTCTTCATGGAAGGCCTCATCTTCCTGCTCATCTCCGCTGTCGGCCTACGGGCCAAACTGGCCAAGACGGTGCCCAAGCCAGTGCGCATCTCGTCCGCAGCTGGGATCGGCCTCTTCCTGGCCTTCATCGGGCTGCAGAGCAGCGAGGGGATTGGCCTCATCGGCTACAACCCCACCACTTACGTCACCCTTGGAGGCTGCCCCAGCTCCGCACGTGTAGCCGTGGCACCCGTTGTCGCCTTCCCCAATG